TTTTCACTACACCATTTGGTTTTTCACAACAAAGTTTGATATATTGCTTCTGAACCAGTTAACACCTGTATCTAGGGCAAGAAAACATGACTGTGTTAGATTTGTAAAGTGTTTATGCCTCTTTTGTGAGTACTTTTTTGCCAAAGTAAGATGTGCAAATTCTTTAACAAGTTTAATGCCCTGAACGGCAGTTCTAGCTATTTTTTTTGCTGATTGATTTATATTTACATTCAACATACATAGAAGGATGGTCCTCTAAATACAATTTAATATGTAGGAAAAGCTTAAGTGCAAAACAACAACAATGGCATTGTAAGAAATTGTTAGAAATGATATCTCCATTGTTATTGTTGAATTAGGTTGATCACATTGTATAAGGTTGATTAGATAATGTAACAAGAGCTCTTGTTAAACTCTTCTCATGTTCACACTTCTATAAAAAGTTGTTACACTTTACCAAGCCTAGAAATTCAATAATGGCTGAAAAATGCCCTCCAGGTCTCAGAATCCCGGAAATTTCACACGTCTTGTAATTAGAAATATCTCGGTGTCATCAGGATTCCACCTTTGGTTGCAAAGTCTTTTTCCTGTATTCACAGGTCTTTTGTCATTTTCCACTTACTGATCTTAGTAGATGAGGTTACTGATTACACAGTATGCTTCTATTACTGGAGTTGTAAAGTGGGGAAAAACATGCCAGTGTTCTAGCAGAGCCCTCATTCTATTCCAGTTAGGGTCACTGATTAGTTATGTACATGTACTTAAAATTTGGTGTTTCCTTCTAAGCGAACAATAATTATGTATCAGTGTGTGCATGACAAATAAAGAGTAGTTTAACACTTTAAATGAACTCCACTGAGGTTTTTTTATGCCCCAACAAAGTGGGGGGCATATAGCGTTGCACTTGTCTGTCCGTCCGTACGTCCCGAAATCTTGTGAACGCAACTCCTCTTAAACTGGATGGCAGATATTTTTTTTACTTGACAACACTGGAATTCTTTTTCTTTCTTTTTTATACGCCCGTTTGAAAAACGGGACATATTATGGGAACGCCCTTGGCGGGCGGGCGGGCGGGCGGCGTCCAATTTTGTCCGGAGCATATCTCCTACATGTATGGAGGGATTTTAATGAAACTTCATACAAATGTTCACCACTATGAGGAGCAGTGTCGCGCACATGAACCAGGTCTCTAGGTCAAAGGTCAAGGTCACACTTAGAGCTCATTGAAAAATGCTTGTCCGGAGCAAAACTTCCACATGTATAGAGGGATTTCAATATTACTTGGCACAAATGTTCACCATTGTGAGGCGGAGTGTCGCGTGCAAGATTCAGGTCCTTGCGGCCAAGGTCAAGGTCACACATAGAGGTCAAAGTTCATATAAAAATATGAAGATGTGTATATGGACCATTTAGTCATCATTTATTGAGGGATTGTAACACAAATGGTCATTATCAAGACTATGGCTGTGATACATATAATTTAGGTCAATATATACAAGGTCAAGGTCACTAAAGATGATGAAATATCCAGATTTTGTAAATAGAATTTAATCAAAGGGAGACAACAAAGTTATTACTTTGTTCATAAATGACTTACACAATTACTCCCCTTGATCTATTTTCACTTTCAATTCTAAAAATAGCATTTAATCAAAGGGCATGAAATAATCCTCTTTCTTGGACTTGAGTATGTTCTAAAGAATGTAACATTTATTTACACATGTTTCATTCATTGGTCAAGATTCTTAACTGTGATAACTATGGTGTTCTGTAGACTTGGTATTTGTTCATAAAGATCATACAGTAATTACCTTATCAAATGTAAATACTTTCTCACAGAAATTTAATTATATTTTAATTTTCAAGTAAATATCAGTTCAGCTCATTCAAAGATTAAGAATTGTAATGAAATGTATTTCCCTAGAATAAAATCTTAAATCAGAATTTTTTAGTTATTAAATTACATGTACTTTTTATACGCCCGTTTAAAAAAAGATAAAAATATGAAGATGTGTATAGGGACGATTTAATCATCATTTATTGAGGGATTGTAACACAAATGGTCATTATAATGACTACGGCTGTGACACATGTACTTTAGGTCAATATATGCAAGGTCAAGGTCACTAAAGATGTTGAAATATCCAGATTTTGTCTGGAGCATATCTCCTACATGTATGGAAGAATTTTTATAATACTTTATGGAAATGTTCACCACCATGATATGTATTGCTCCATGCATGATCCAGGTCTCCAGGTCAAAGGTCAAGGTCACACTTAGAGCTCATTGAAAAACGCTTGTCCGGAGCAAAACTTCTACATTCATAGGGGGTTTTCAATATAACTTGGCACAAATGTTCACCATTGTGAGGCTGAGTGTCGCATGCAAAATTCAGATCCCTGCAACCAAAGTCAAGGTTACACATAGAGGTCAAAGTTCAGATAAAAATTTGAAGATGGTTATAGGGACCATTTAGTCATCATTTATTGATGGATTGTAGCACAAATGGTAACTATCATGACTACAGGTGTTACACATTTAATTTAGGTTAATATTTGCAAGATCAAGGTCACTGGAGATGATTAAATATCCAGATGTTGTCCGGAGCATATTTTCTACATGCATGGAGGAATTTTAATGTTACTTTTATAGAATTGTTCACCACCATGAGAGGTAGTGCCCTGCACATAAACCAAGTCTCTAGGTCAAAGGTGAAGGTCACAGTTAGAGCTCATAGAAAAACACTTGTCTGGAGCAAAACTTCTACATGCATAGAGGGATTTCAATATAATTTGGCACAAATGTTCATCATTGTGAGGCTGAGTGCCGTGCATAAAATTCAGGTCCCTGCGACCAAGGTCAAGGTCACACATTCTGTGCATATCTTCCCTATTGATTTGTTTTAAGGTTCATTTAACAACACAGTGCCAAGAATAAAAACTTGCTTGCTAGATAACACTTATCCATAATGCCCCCATCTCCATCTAAAGCTTTTTCGTAAACGGGCGTATTTTGTGACTATGGCACCCTTGTTTTTACATATTTATAACAATTAATATAGGACTCTATACTGAAAACATAATTATTCTCTCCCCATTTTTAGCTCACCTGTCACAAAGTGACAGGGTGAGCTTTTGTGATCACTTTTCGTCCGGCGTCCGGCCGTAAACTTTTACTTTAAATGACATCTCCTCATAAACCACTAAGCCAATTTCATCCAAACTTCACAGGAATGTTCCTTTGGTGGTCACCTTTAAAAATTGTTCAAAGAATTTAATTCCATGCAGAACTCTGGTTGCCATGGCAACCGAAAGAAAAAACTTTAAATATCTTCTTTTAAAAAACCCTAAGAGCTAGAGCTTAGATATGTGGCATGAAATATCTTCTAGTGAGTGTCTACCAAGTTTGTTCAAATAAAAGCCCTGGGGTCAAAATTGGTCCCGCCCCAGGGGGTCATTGTTTTTCCCTATATGCATATAGTAAAAACTTTAAAAATCTTCTTTTAAAGAACCCAAAGAGCTAGAGCTGAGATATTTAGCATAAAACATCTTCTCATGAGTGTCTACAAAGTTTGTTCAAATAAATGCCCTGGGGTCAAAATTGGCCATGCCCCAGGGGGTCATTGATTTTCCCTTTATGCATATAGTAAAAACTTAAAAAATCTTCTTTTAAAGAACTGAAAGAGCTAGAGCTAAGATATTAAGCATGAAACATGTTCTAATGGGTGTCTACCAAGTTTGTTCAAATAAAAGCCCTGGGGTCAATATTGGCCCCGCCCCGGGGGTTATTGATTTTCCTTATATGTGTATAGAAAAAACTTAAAAAATCTTCTTTGAAAAAACCCAAATAGCTAGAGTTTAGATATTAAGCATGAAACATCTTCTAGTGAGTGTCTACAAAGTTTGTTCAAATAAAAGCCCTGGGGTCAATATTGGCCCCGCCCGGGGGGTTATTGATTTTCCTTATAATATTTATGTGTATAGAAAAAACTTAAAAAATCTTCTTTGAAAAAACCCAAATAGCTAGAGTTAAGATATTAAGCATGAAACATCTTCTACTAAGTGTCTACAAAGTTTGATCAAATCAAAGCCCTGGGGTCAAAACTGGCCCCGCCCCAGGGGTGTCATTGTTTTTAAGTATATGTGTATAGTAAAAACTTAAAAATCTTCTTTTAAAAAACCCAATGAGCTAGAGCTTAGATGTTAAGCATGAAACGTCTTCTCATAGGTGTGTACCAAGTTTGTTCAAATAAAAGCCCTTGGGTTAAAACTAGCCCTGCCAGGGGGGGGGGGGTCATTGTTTTTCATTATATGTTTATAGTAAAAACTAAACATCATGAAACATCGTCTAATGGGTGTCTTCCAAGTTTGCTCAAATAAAAGCCCTGGGGTTTAAACTGGCCTCGCTCCGGGGGGCCTATATACAGGTGAGCGACCTCAGGGCCATCATGGCCCTCTTGTTAAAATGTATAGTTATTTCAGTTGCGAAAAATGTCCCAACAATGTAAAGCGTTTTGTTTTACTCAAACGAGACTAAGAATAGCTCAACAGGACAGTTTTCAATGGTCCAAAGGTTTTCTATAATTTGCCTTATTGAATTTCCTATTATGTACTTCGGTTAGAAAATAGATTTGTGAAATAAGGCTACACATGCAAAAAGAAAATGATAGCCATGCAATACTTAATGGTAATATCTTCATATTTATAACCTCATAGAATAAAAAACAAATGGAAATTTTCAGAACTACATCATCAGAGAAGCAATTAACATGAGATCTTAAGGTTAATTGGCAATATTTGAATATCATGAAGACCATGCTTAGAAAACATATGATGAAATACCTCTTTCCTTTAAAGTACAAAATAAACTTTTTTAAAAGATATTTCTACCAAATCAGACAGCATTTTCTGTTGTTTATTTCTCAAGTTTTTTTTGTTCTTTTTTTTTTGTCTGAAAAAGTGTTATCATTTTAGATCTATATATTCTTTGTTTTATTCAGGAGTTACTAACTGCAGCTCTAGGTGTAGGGCCAACAAACGAGACAGCAGTCAGACAGAAGAAAACATCAGTTCATACAGTTATTCCCAAGACAGACAAGTCAATACTGTCAGTTACACAGTCACTGGTGGCCCTTCTTGCACAGTGTGGCCTCAAGAACACTTCAATGGTGGCTTCCACAGCACAGACAACTGATAAGAATACTCAAGCTTCACTGTCTGGACAGCACAGTGAGTAATAGCTTTCATTTATTGTGATCTGTAGAATGTAAAGAAATTTTTTTCTCTATTTTTTATTAATAAAAGTTACTGCAACAAAATTGGATTTCGTGTAATAGCTTTTTGTAAAGTCAAAGTACATTTCTAATGTAAAAAGGAACATTATGTACATTTATATTTTCAAAATTGTTGACAGTATATATCATTTTATCACATAAATCACGGCATAGAAGTGCAATGAAACCATTTAATAAAAATGATATTACACTAGTGAAATAACACTTTGATGTGACATGCATAAAAGCAAGCTAATTTAAGCATTACATTAGAGAGAGTTCAATAAAAAATGACTCTTTTTAACTGTAAACTGTTCTTAATTTGGATATGTGATTAAAAGAATATTGTATTTGTGTAGATTCAATGCTAAATTTACACTCATTTGATATCCTCTATTTTTGTAAAATATTCCTCAGATTCAAATGATTGAATTATTATTCTTTTGTGTGCATTTCACATTATTATGGTTATTCACAATTATTTTATTTCAAGACCAAATGAACAAAATGTAAATAATAGTGTGAAACAAGGAGCCATATATAGACATACTGACAAAGTTGTAAAATAATTTATTTATTTCTTTTTGATTTAGTTCATGTATTATCACTATATTATTGAAATGTACATAGAAACAACATTACTGCTTAACATATATTATTTTATAAGTGAAACCAAACGTTTTACCAACATTTTCTAGGGCCTATCCAGAATTGTCTTACTAAAGTAAGAGTGAGTTAAGAAATTATGTTATTCTGAATTTTATTTAGATCTTTTGTACATTAACTCAAATTAACATAACATTTTCATTTAAAGGAGAAAGTACAGATCAGACACCGGAAGAACGTCCACTAGGTATAATACAAATGATAGATGCACTTTCTGCCTGTATATTGTCTGCAAAGATAGATCATACTTACCGTCAGTGGGCCGGTATCCAGCTTGTCAGATGTATAGCCTGGCACAAGCCGGGTCCTTCCACAAGCCAGTCACAGGTTGACCTCGGTCCAGATTTGCCGCCATGTATTGTCCGCAAGTTGGAGGCACATCAGAACAGACTGGCTGACTGTAGTTGGAATGAGAAGAAATCTCTGCTTGCAACAAGGTGACTGTTACCTTTATGTTGTCCGGTTGAAGTCAATTCTCAGATTGAACTCAATTTGTTGTAGTATGCTTATAATCATATCTTGTTATTTATCTAGGGTTTTTGTAATTTATTTCTTTATTAAATGAGAAACAGCTTTATCACTAGAGGGTCCATTTTTTTTACCCCTTATACTTTCTTAAACTGAAGGAGAGATATTTGTTTACATTGACAGCTGTCTGTTTCTTGGAAAGGGTTAAAAACAAAATAAGCAGCCGTATCTTAACGCCATATTATGGGCTTAAGTATTGAAGACGTTAAATTTGGTTGCTGCTTGCCTTTATGTAATAATGGCCCTTAAATCCATTGGCCATTATCGCACAACGGTGAATAGTTACCAAGTATTAACCTCTAATTTAATAAAATATTGCTTTACTCCACACACATGATTATAATATTTATATGAGATTCATTTGTTCAACTGGGCATATGGTGCTCATTGTAAGCTTTTAATTTTGGAAAGAACAGAATTATGTATTTATCAGAAATTTGCACACAAGTTATTGGTCTAGACCTACATCCAATGATACATAAATCTAGGCAAAATATTTCCAGTCCTGTCATGGCAGAAAAACCTCAGTGGAGTCCCTTTAAGACAGAAAAGAAATTATGTAAAATAATTGTTGTTTTGTCTTTTATTACAGTGGCTATGATGGTGTAATTCGAGTTTGGAATATTCCCAGTAAAACACACCAGATTATGCAGCAAACATGTATATTTAACAGTGGAGAGGGTGTGACAGGGGAACACCTAGATGGACAATTACTAGATAACCTGTGCTGGAACAGCTCGGGGAAACTACTGGCAGGATCCATGGATAATATGGTCAACATCTGGGCTATAGGCGGTATGTATAGCTTTCCCTTAATAACAAGGTTTAATCATTGACAATGTTTAATACTTGAACCCCTGTCTTCACCTTAGAGCATAATCTTAACAGAGAACACCAAGGGCACCAGCAAAATATTTTGAATGATTTAAATAATATTGAGCTGCTTTTTATTTATTGCTGATGTCCTGTTTTTAAAAAAAAATAATTAGGGGAGTTGCCCTATTATGATAGAATTATGATGAATAATTCATGATGAGGATTGCACTGAGTTGTGGCGCTCTTACTTGGCTGACAGTCTTTTTCAGGGTTAACCTATCTCTTCATAACATTTAAGGTTACTGTTGACTGCTGTGCATACATACAGATTAAAATTGTTCAATTGTTAGAATATAAGTTTTTTCCTCTCTTCCTTATAGTAAGGCTACTTTAGTAATTTTAAGCTTGGCTGAGTGTTGAGCAGTTTGCAAATGGTGGTAATCTTTATGTTGAGGTTAATGAGTAACAAAAAAATGAATGGACAATTTGATTAACAATGTGCATAATGTCACCATAAATATTAAATTTGTATTTTTTTTTTGTTCTCCAATATAATCTATTATTATTATTATTGATTTCTGTTTAAACATATTTATTGCTCTTACAGGTGGACTTGGACATTTAGATATACAGCCACATTGGGTTTCAGCTCTGGCTTGGTCCCAGTGTAAGCCAGTGTTTGGGGGTTGCCTATGGTTGAACACTGACCGTTTGTTAGTTGGTCGGCTAGATGGGTCTCTAGCTTTTATAGATATACTGGACAGCACTACATTCAGGAGACAGGAGTTACAGCAGTGCTATAGACCTGATGGTTAATATTAAATTGGCAGCTCATTAGGCTATTTTTCTTTGACTCTCTTATACCTAAATAGTTTGAACTTCAGCAAAACCTCAATTGCTTGTACTTTAATTAATGTTTTTCCAATTTTAAATGACATTTTTCTGTATATGCTGATTAGGTTATGACATTATGTGTCAAACAAATATTTATTGGGATGAGATATTTTACTGATATTTTTAGATTTAATAAGGAATAATTAACATCAGAGTTATTGCCCTTGGCTTAGAATTAGAGAATTCTGTACATTGTGATTATACACAATGGTTTAAGTTTCAATATTTGACTGTTAAAACCGAATTGTTACCCTTGACTAGTCAAATTTAGATAGTCTGTATGTTGTTGCTCTTGAGTGAATGAAAGTTTGCAAATTTAACTATGTTTAATTTAGAAATTGAGTTACATCATTTAATAAATGGTTACATTATGATATGCCTTGATTCAACCTCATTTCATCACCTTGAATTGTTAAAAAATCTTGTTGTTTTTTATAGGCACACTACAATTCTATGACAATGTTACAAGAACTTAATTTTTCACTCAAAAGTGAAACACACAAGATAAAAGACATTTAAGATTTTCAGATCTAGTTATGTATTCATGTCTCTACAAATTTTGAGTCCTATTTTAGTTTCAGTAACAAAGATTGCCTGGTATGAGGAGACCAGGAGGTTTATGGTGGGATTCATGGATGGTGTTATAGATCAGTGTAGTACTGAGGAATTTGAATCCCCAATCAGAACACAGGCTCATGAGGTGAGTTATTGACTGTATATGTTTAATTAATGGTGGCTTAGTGGTAAAGGTGTCTGTATCTTAACCCAGGGTTCATTGGTTCGAGCACTAGTTGGTCATGACCGTCATGACTCCTCAACACCAGTACAGGTTGGTTCCAGGAACTGTGGCTTAATGGTTATGGTGTCTGCCTCTTAACCCAGGGTTCATTGGTTCGAGCCCTATTGGGTCACGACCATGATTCCTCAACACCAGGCCTCAAGGTTATAAAGCTTTTTTCTGTCTCAAATCTCAGGGTTTTCATAGATCAGTGGAAATTCTTTGGCAGTTTCTGATCAGTCAAATACCTGAGATCTGAGTTTGAGCTAAGAGTATGTATTTATAAATTTGGACCCTATACTGGTTGGTTCCAGGAAGCGGACTTGAAAGTGATAATATATGTTGCAAGAACTTGTTTAACCTGCTGAATTTCCAAAATGGACTTGTCTGGTTGTTATTTTTGGAACTGTTCATTATCTGTTTAAGGGATATCAAGTTGCCCAAGAAATTTACATCTAAAATACCATTGGTATTGTTGGTAGTGGAGCGATTATTGAACCTGCGATCGCTAGATTACTAATCTAGTGTATTACTATTGGACCATAAATTATTATTATAATTGAATCTTATAGTTATTAGTATGACCAGTTTTTGTAATGCTTAAATTTTTTTACTTTCTTCTACAGTCAGCTATCACTGGAATGAAATGGGATCCTACAGGTCATATGTTGTTGACCTGTGCTAGAGGGGACTCGCATGTCAAAGTGTGGACACCTGGTCGTGAAGGTCTTATTCTGTTGCATACACTATACCACACTGCAGCTGTCACTGTTGTAGAATGGTGTACTTTACTTGGCAAGGGCGAAACTAAATCACTTATGTTAGCAAGGTATGTTCACAGATTTTGATACGCCTGCTCACTAAGTCTGGCATTTATGATTGATGAAAAATGATTGTTTAGTTCAAGATAATATATTGCATTTTGGCTGGTACAAAACATACAAATCATTGCTTTTATACTCATACACCTTTATTTATAAATTGAGTTCTGTTTTGAAAAATCTATAAAATTTAAAGATACTTTTTACTTTTGTATTTAATTGATAAGGAAACTAACCTTGATTTCGCTGTCTGTGTAGGCATTACACATTTGATAAAAAAATTTATACCAGCTGACATCAACACTGAAGTTAACCCTTTGGAAGAATACTATACTTCTTATTGTTCCTGCCTCTATCCAATTGTACAAGTAAGCATACATTACTCTGTTATTGATTTGGACATAATAATGCCCCTTTAAATAGATTACCCAGTTTTTGATAATACTTGCAGTGGTTGTGACAATGGGATGGTGTATGTTGAA